CAGAACATCATCAGGTTTTACAACAACATGAGTCAGAACAACATGAGTCAGAACATCATCAGGTTTTACAACAACATGAGTCAGAACATCATCAGTGTCTACAACAACAGGAGTCAGAACATCATCAGGTTCTACAACAACATGAGTCAGAATATCCATCACCAGGTTCTACAACAACATGAGTCAGAACATCCCCAGGTTACAACATGAGTCAGAACATCCCCAGGTTCTACAACATGAGTCAGAGCAATGCATCCCCAGGTTCTACAACAACATGCGTCAGAACATCATCAGGTTCTACAACAACCTGAGTCAGAACATCATCAGGTTCTACAACATGAGTCAGAGCAATGCATCCCCAGGTTCTACAACAACATGCGTCAGAATATTCCCAGATTCTACAACAACAGGAGTCAGAACACCATCAGGTTCTACAACAACATGAGTCAGAACATCAGCAAGAGGCTCTCGGGGGTTGTCAGTTCATGATAACAGAAGAACTATCGCTTGATGTTGGAGGTATAATAACAAAACTGTATGACAGGGATGATTTTGAAGCTTTGTGTTTACAGATGAAGAAGCTCTCTACATGTTTGTTATGTGTTACAAAAAGTACACCTTTTCAAAATCATCTTAATGTTCATTGGGACAATGGCCTGGTAGTATACAGGAAAATACTTTTGTCTTGCTGCTTTGGTTGTGCGCAAGCTATCGAAATATTGATGAAATAGTGGTTTGTAGAATTTATTAAGTAAATTGATCAGAAGTATTTGAATTTATAGTACTTACGAAAACATATATTTGGTGAAAAATATCACTCTTGATAGCTATACATTTTTATAGTCTCTGTCAGAGTGTTATTTAGATGGAAATCGGTGTTTGTTACAAGGTTACACTGAATGTGTGCAAACAATCTTTTGTAGAAATGCCTTGTTAACTTCATGTAAAGATATTCATTTGCAATAACTTTGTAAAGTACATATAGTCATTTAATAAGGGAAATCTTAAATGGATGAATTTTGGTGCCCCAATAAAAATGGTGGAGAGTATAAGATTTCTACTTGGCGAATAAATATGAATACTGTTATTTCAATACAGGATTTATCATACATAAAAATTGGAGATTGGTTAGCTCATTACATTTGGAAGATCTTTAAGATATTCAATTAATGGTTCTTGCACAGTGAGCCTCTGAGAATAACAAGGCGTCTGTTGTTGGTAAACATTGGATTTCTACTAAAAATTCAAAAATTGAAGAAGCATTAAGCGGTTCTGGTGTTTTGTATTTTTTAGTTTTTGAGGGCTTTCATTGACATTTAATCATGGGGTTGTGGAAATTGTTTTTTCTTGTCAAATTTAACCAGTAATTGCAGTATTCATTATGTAGGCATTTTAGTTTATGTGGACATACCTGAATCGGTGCATTTTCTGTGGTGTTATTGCCAACTCAAGGGTATGATATTGAGAAAAATATCGACGATGATGCTTTTAGCTGTGATCACTTAGGTTTTCATACTCTACAGCTACTATTTTTATCTGCATTAAACATGTTGAAAATCATCACTCACTATAATATATCAATCAGTTCTGTTAATCAAAATCAATGTGTTAATATTGAGACAAAATTCAATAAGAAAGTCACATTTGCACTCATTGGAATTGTGCGCTCATTAGATATAATATGGTTTACAGGTATATGTATTACATTTTTTATTATATCTCATATACTACAGTAAAACCTGTTTTAGTGCACACCACTTTAGATAGATTTCACATCGACTCCTGTATATAATCCCCTCTAGTTAGAAAATACCTATCGTGAACACATTTTGTGGCTCAATAGGTGTTCACTATTTACAGGTTTTACAGTATTTGAATTTATTGGAATATATGTAAATGTGTCTTTATTTGTGATCGATGTACAATGTACTTGATGTTTCAATACTGAATGCATACATTTTTGGCTTTTGCAAAATATATATTGTCACTAGTCCACAGTAGGGACAATAGGAATTAGCCACATCCAGAAATGGAGATAAAATTTTGTTAATGTTCAGGATTGAAGTGAGTCAACAGGTATATGCATAATTATAAAACTTTATAAATCGCTTGATAAAATGAATAGTCACATGGGTTGACCTTGAAATAGCATGTGTAAATAGTTATTTGCAATAGAAATAAATAAATCAGTACATCAAACTCTCTTTATTAGTTTATTTGATCCAGACTTGAATACAGCATCAACTCCAAATACTTCAATGAAGTTCAAGGCCAGCTATTATCAGAAATTATAACATTAATTAAAACCTCATCTACATCTGTAATCCCAAATACCTTTGAAAACGTAAACTTGAACACATAAGGACTCCAACTCCTAATTGCAATAGCCAATTCATCTTTGAATTTCGAGAACAAATTTTATTCTATTTTGAGAGCCTTTATCGGCATGAATTCAAATTGACAGAAAGGTAAAAGGTCTGGCAATTAATCCAATTCATGAATACCAAAGGATGCTACATCCCGGGTTTAGAGTGTTTTGCATTTCGTTCAGTTTATGGCGCCTCTACCGGCAAAAGTTAAAATAGCACTGGTTTCGAGACTATTTAAGTACGGGTCAAGGGATGCAGGAGAAATGAGTCGGAGGATGATATATCCCCTGGGTTTTATACAGCATTTTATTGTTTTAAGTTTAAATCTGGGATGTAGCCGGTATTTGACGGGGGGGGGTCGATTTTAAAAAAATCCAAGGGATTCACTTTTGAAATGGCCCAAAAATGACCAAAACCATTTGAAAAAGTGCTCAGAATGGTGAAAACTGCATGGTTTTGAAAGCATTTTTGGCAATGGTAGAGGGTCCTGGCTACGGGCCTGTTACATAAGTTTGTTAATGATAGATTCAAACTGATAGCATGGTCATACGGGGGTCCTATCCATAAATACTCTGATAGGACGCTGTCCCGGGGTTTTCGTGTCGTTTCGTTCAGTAAATAGCACTGGTTGCGAGACTATTTTAGTACGTGTTTCTAGCACGTGTTATAGAAACCCGGGTCCTGTCAGTGTTTGCCATCGACCCTTTCTCACACAGACAGATGCACAGTGTAGTGTGTTCTCAGAAGATAGGGTCCTTTACCTTTGACGATACCAATGGATATGCAATAACTGTCAACATCAAACTCTATTTTGTGATTCCCATTGAGTTCTTGGGGACTTTAGGTGAACCCAGGGGGTTGACAGGCAGCAACAGTGGTTCCAACAAGACAGAACCATACCCCATACACCCAATGATGCACAATAATGGCTTTGGGACCACTTCAATGACCACATTATCAGCAGTACAACAGACAATGAATGGGCACCCCATAGCCCAGATATGGCCCCATTTAATATTTACCAGTGGGGATACCCCGAAGATAGAGTGTAGGGTAATAACACCAGAAAAACATTTGGCCTCAAAATAAAGATCACATGTGTTGTTCAGGCCATACTTGCTGAGGAATACAGTTATGGCATTGACAGGTTTGGAAAATGTGTGCAGGTTTGCCTACAGCACGATATTGGAAAATTGGGGCACCTTGTTTAAAGTGCTGTAACATTGCGACTATAAATCCAATGTTCATGAAATAACACAGTCTAGTATGAAATTGAGTACATTGGTATGAAAAATTAGGGTTGCTGTTTTTTACCACCCTGCACAATACCCTGGCATTGATAAATGACTTAATCGTATGCTATTCCAGATTGTATCTTAAAATTTTTTGATGAAATTCACGGAAAATATTTGGATAATTGTAACTAATTTTTGTGTTTCGTACATATTGGAGACCATGGTCAGCTTTTTTAACGTGCGAGGTCGTTAAAACTTAGGACCTAAAAAATCGTAACACATTATTGATAAATACTATTTCATCTGAAGGATGTGTAAGATAATGTAAATATTGAGAAAGGTTTGTCCAACGTTTCTTGGGCTTAAGAGAGACATAGATGAATACGACATTTGCAAGATGAACAAGCAGGAAAGGAAGATGAATCGAAGGATATTAAAAGTATATTGTAACCCCAAGTGACAGCAAATTCCCATTTTCAAGTAAATATATAATACTATCATGTGTAGGGAAAATGTAGATGTTATGCTATTTTTACCAAATATTTTTCTGCTTGTATGTACTGCTCAAACTGAAATAAAAAGTCATTAGAAAATTTAGTTCCGATGTATAGATATTTTTCGTATTGTGTAAAAGTCTTAACGAGAAACATTAAAAAGTAAGAAAATGAGATCATGAATGCATCAACAACCTGGTTATGTTATCATTTTATTTTTAACCTGTTCGTGGTATGTTGTGTACATTGTTTTTATGAGTATTGTGCTGTATATTCAATCACATGGGTACTTTTACAAATTCTATATAAACGATGTAGAAGTACAGTTAAGTGCAGTTGTTTATTTAATGAATCATAGAACAAATGGACATTTTTTCTAATATGAACTTGCAGTTAACTAATGCAACAGTCACATTTCATCTACGATAACCGTACGGCGGCCGTAGCTTCCCTAACTTGGCAGAAGTATGCAGCATTAAAATATATGGATAACCAGTGCGACGAAGATGTTCTATATCGGTTTTTATAAGCGACGGCAGCCGCACGCCCGCCGTAGAGTAAATATGACCGAGGCTTGACGTTTTGTTTTAATAGAAGATATGAAATACAAAATGTATGACGTTACATATGATAAATATGCATATGTTGCATATGCTAATAAAATATATTTTATTTTCCTATATCGAAAACGTTGTCTTATTTTCATATATTGGATGAATGTTCTAATTCTCGGTATAGTAGAATATGTGTATCACTTCGAACCAAGCTACATTTGCCATTATGACAAAGTTGATTTATTATCTAACATTTGTCGACAGAAATGTACATTGTCATGGATTCTAACAACACTGCTTTTACTTGTTCTATTACGAAGCTGATTAACATTTTTGAATAAGTATACGGTATATTAATTTGCATGTGTCTATAGCAAATGCTTTTTGTTGTTCGGTGTATACATGTGGTGAAATTTTGTCACAATATTGACTCTTGTATAACTCATTGCAGACAACCGCTTAGCTTATTAAACACTCGACTCATACTGAACATTGTAACCATTTGGAATCGTTCTTAGTTGTGAGTCACTATTATAATATACAAGTATCTAAATTCATTCAATACAACTTCCATCTATAAGCTTATTTACTCGACAACTCATGTTCTACTTCAACGCCAACTAGAATCTGTTAGGATCGACCTTGTACCCTTCATTTGCATAAGCATAGTCTTGTTTTTTGCTTCCATCTGCTGCATATTTCTCTGTTGTATCCTTCAGTGGAACAGTATCGCGGTAGCTCTCGCCAGGCATTAGTTGGAATGGTTTCAGTCCAATTGGATTGATTAGATCACGGAATTCCTAATAAGAAATTAATTGAAGTCAAGCATGGTGTTTTACGTAACTGTAATCAATATAGGAAATGTGAAAGTCCTGTGAAAATAGTTTCTTGCCATTAAGATATAAAAACCGCTTTTCAAATAAAGTTTCAAACAGCAATTATATTTGGAACGATGACAACATTACAAAGCGGTTGCCTTATATAAAGATTCCATTTTCCTAAAGCCACTTGGATGATGTTTTGAATCATTTTTATAAGGCTACCCAATTGAATTTAAAACAATGGACAGCTTTAATTGGAGCTTTTTGTCGAATAAATCTCAGGGTTCTTTTCGTAATAATATATACCATGGACGCTATATGCTATGGGTATATCCCACTTTTAGAGAATTGGATCATATCAGATAGTAGTACGTATAATCAGTCAAGTCAAGTAACTAATTCAACATTCGAAATTCGTATGTTCATCAATATTTACTAAGAATTTAAGTAGACCTCTGGTTAATTATTTTCAATATACCTATCAGCAAACGTGTAAATTATCATTTTGATGTTCTGTTACATATTGGTGAAGCAAACTTGGGGATATGGCCTAGATTTCTAAATTTCCACTATGTCCTTGTATACCCCTACTTCAAAAGATGTATGTTATTTGTCATTTTTCGTTATGAACCAACCATAAATGTATTCAAATAATGACAGATGGTACTGCATTTATTTTTTCATAATATGGAGTAAACAAATGCGTGTCAATTTACACTGTAATATCCTACATACCTATATTTCAAGGGTAGTTTTGAAGAATAATCAAGAAAATCCATGTTTTTAAATGGATTCATCCTTGTCAAAGAACGTAAATGAGGATATGCGGTTTGAAAAATTAACAACATGTTTCAAGTTCTTACAATTCTTGGTTGAAACAAATATTTTGAAAGTTGTGATTTCGAATGTAATCTAAATCAATGAAAATTGTTTATATTTGTAGTTTTTTCTTTCGGAATACACATTGCTGGATCACAGAACCCTGCCTTGTTCGAGATGCACGAAAAATGTATTGTTAATACTTGACGTCGTTTGGATATCTGGATGTGATTGACGTTTTCGGTAATCTCCTACCACTGTAACTTCCGACTTAATTTTTGAAAGCCAAATATGATGGTCACGAATTGATATACAAGTCACACGTTGATGTATACATCATATTTGTCAAATATATTTATTTAAAATATTATCCACAGTTTAACTCAAATCATCAATGCTCGAATCAGTTTATCATATAACCTTGTGAGTTTAATGTTTCATTTTAATTTATAATTATGGTATCGGATTTGAGTATGATTCTAGTTGAAGCTTAAACAAAGCAATGAAAATGCATAAAACCTTTTGTGAAAATTCGAACGATTTTTCAAGAATCCTCCTTCAAAGTGTTACCAAAGTGCTCCTCGGGAGTGTAAATTTCGTCTTGTGCGATTACAATAATAACGCGAGCTATTAAACAAATGAAATCTGACAGTAGTCCAGGGATTGATGAATTAACATCTGCCTTCTACAAAATGTTTTGAACTAAAGTAAAAAGCTTAGTAGTTAATTCATTGAATTATGGGCTTCATGCAAGGCAACTTTCTAGCAGTCAAAGGAAAGGAATAATAGTATTAATACTCAAAGGCAAAACTATTCCAAGAAATCGTTTAAAATCATTCAGGCCTATATCATTAACTTGTTGTGGCTATAAAATAAGGGCAACTGTGTTGGCAAACAGACTCCAAACTGTAATAAAAGATTGGTTGAACGTGACCAGAATGCATATTTGAAGGAAAGGGGGATACATCTAAACTGAAGATTGATAGATGACATAATGAATTACATGTATAATGATGACATTGAAGGTATTATGGTTGCTCTTGACTGTTCACGGGCGTTTGATTATATTTCAAAGAAGTATTCAATTTTGATCCAGAATTTCAAAGATGGATAGAAAAGTTCACAAAAATACACAGTCTACAGTCTCTAATACTGGGTTATTCACAAAATTCTTCAATTTAGATCAAGGTTTGAGGCAAGGTTGTTCATTACTTTTTATATTATCAAAATGGATTCGAGATGTACTCAAAAGTAATACGTTAAAATGTGTATTATCATCTTAATTACCACCTCACAAATTATCTTGGAAATCAACGATTTTGAGATTTTTATTTTCGAATGTCGACTCAGTTACTCGACTTGACTGAATGTCCTCTTTGACACAAGTTTGGCACCGCCTATATAAATTGGCCTCGCTTATTTAGGATCCTGACTTTGCTCTTGTAGACATATTACACAAACTAACACGCATGAAAAATACATACCCAATCCCCGCATACATATTTCCAGCAGAACATGATCAGCATGACGATTGGAATAAAAGAAACTGTGAAGAAAGCCAGTCCCCATCCAGTCCAAACCGCCCATGTTGGATAGTTGTATACACCTGTGCTGGGCCTCGTGTAACTCAGCTCAGAGTAACCAATCAGTGAAAGGATGAACATAATCTGTTTAAAGATGCGTGTCAATTATTTAATGAAAATACGAGTATACAAATATGCATAGATTTGGTGAAAATACTTTTTGGTCCTTTCTTGCCTGAAGTTAAAAAGGTTTCAGATAAAATTGTACTTGTGTCGTTTAGGACCATGTATAACGCCAAATAAATGTACAATCCAAAATTATTTATGATTTATTAATACTAAAGAAAAGTGAATTCATTCAGGGATTTCAACTGAGTAAGATATAACTTAAAAAATTATAGCGAATATGCCACATCATATACATATACATATACATTACTATATTTTTAAATAACCCTAAGAACTCACCAGACAGAAAAGGGGACAGAAGAACGCCCACATTGCCATGTAATAATATCGTCCACCTTGGACACAACAATGCCCACCTAGTCTACCGTACATCACCTGAATGTGGTCGTAGAATCGCCTAACTCCTACAATAGAATACAACTGGTTAATAAATGTTAAACGTGATGATCGCCTAACTCTTACAATAGAATACAACTGGTTAATAAATGTTAAACGTGATGATCGCCTTACTCCTACAATGAAATATAACTGATTCATTAATGTCAACGAATGTCAATTTTCTTTCAAAATAATTTTTTGGTGCCAAAAAAGCTAGACTTCCTGAACGAATAATCTTTCAAATGAAACTAAAATCAAGGTAAATGGCTCTCCTCTAACTAAACGTATGCTATTTCAAAGATAGCAGGTATCGCAAAGTCCCATTGAAACCAATATTATGCAAAATTGAATAATCAACAATTTCAAGCTCAACTTTTTGGTCTTTAGCATTCATATTTTAAGATGTTCAACAAATGCCAATCAGTGATTTAGTAAAAAAAATAGAAAAAATGCTTGACTTTGTATTATTCCAAAATAAATTCGGTTCATGATTTTGCCTAGCAACCGCATCAAATAAGTGAAACTGAAAAGGTGGGGTTAAGGGAGAATAAAAAAATATATCTAAAATTTGGAAGAAGCTATCATCATAATTCTGTTACCACTGTCTGCATGAACATTCAGGAATATGCAAAAAAGGTATTCATGAAGCAGTTTTTGAAAACCCCGTTTTTCTCTCAAATCCGTGAAGAGAATGCGTTTCACAAATATTTGGCGATTGACTGTTTTTTGCCTTAAAAATCATAACATAGTCAATAGTGGCTCGATCTTCATGAAATAAAGCATATTGGAAAGATACTTCAATATGCCAAATGATTATCTATCAAACAGATCATTATCTTACTGTACTTTAAGGCGTGCTCGGAAGGAAAGTGCTCCGGTTTCCACACCTGTGAAGGGAATGTAACTAAATATTACAAGTTGATTTTCGAACTGACCGTATATCCAGGCAACAACGATGCATTCTATCATGGCAACTAAGTATAACAGCCTGCTACACGGATAATAGTCGAACAGCTGTAGAACAAACATTCCTCCCTGGAAATGAAAGAACTACAATTATGTACGTTGCTTGTTGTAATTGTAGTTTACGTAAACTGGGTTTATTTGTTCAAACTTGTTACGTGATATGTGGAAGATAAAGAGTGGAGGTGAATAACGTAAACGTGATGAATGAATGATGAACATAAATTTTAACTAGCAAGGACGTCTTAAACTAATTGTCAATGATGAGCTGAAACCGACACGATTTGTTGTGATTTATTTTCAGACCCTTGTGCTGTACCATCGTCACTTACCCTTGTTACCATGCTGAGTCCCACCAGATACATAATAGCACAAACGAAGGCAACAAATGCCCATCGTCTTTTACCAGCTCTAAGGAGCTTCGGAAAGAGATCGCTCAAACCAGCGATGAAACCCTCGACTCCTACGAACTGAAACGAATTAAGAAGTAACAATATACTACACATATAAGATATGATGAATAATTCACGATTTAATTTGCTATGATCGATTATTCTTTGTGGTTTCGAAGCGTTACCCTCTGTGGATTTACTTGCAACTTCCAACTAGATTGCCAAAAATAGTTCTGACATAATATCTGCAAATTAAGTCACCTGACTATCCAGACCCAATAGGATAACCATTATGAAAAAGAAGGCCGACCATAGCGGCGCTACTGGCATCTGGTTTAAGGCTTTAGGGTATGCAATAAACGCAAGACCCGGACCTGAAATTAAACAGTCGATTAAAAACGAATCAATGGTGTAAAGAGAAGTAAATCAACACCTGGGCAAAGTCATAACAGCGAGCGGCCCGGGTGTTTCTAAAAAAATAGTTTGCCTCATTCAAAATAAGTGACATAAATATTAAATGGTGTTGACATTTGTCATGTTCTGCATTAAATAATGTTGAGATTTCCAAATCACCAAACATAATCGGGCATAAATAGAGCTTCCGTCTGCAAATTTAAGGTTAGGAATTTACGTTCACATACCTCCTTCTGCTACATCCTGGATGTCCACACCCTGTTCATAAGCCATAAACCCGAGTACGCTGAATATCACAATCCCAGCGAAGATACTTGTACCCGTGTTTGCAAATGCAAATATAAGTGTATCCCTGCGAGGAAAATAAGATGGCGATGTAACGACTTCAGTATGAAATTTCCCTTGAGCTGATAATTTTGGATTGAACGTACAGTTTTCTTAAATATCCCTTTACAATCCATTCAGTAACACAATATTATTTAGCTGACATACCTGAAGGAATTGTGTCTGAATCTGTTATAACTTCCAAGTGCAGTCAATGTTCCAAGAGCAATGGACATGGAAAAGAAAATCTGACTTCCTGCGTCTACCCAGATCTGTAAATTCAGAAGAAAATGATTGTTAATCGTTATAATGATAGTACTATAATTGCAAATGTACAGAGGGCTGTTAGTTAGACTGAATATATAATTCAATTGCAAATGAATGAAGGGCTGTTGGTTAGACTGAATATATGATATGATTAAAAATAATTAGAGGGGTGTTTGTTAGACTGAACATATAATATAATTGCAAATGAATGGAGGGCTGTAGGTTAGATTGAATATATGATATAATTGCAAATAAATGGAGGGCTGTTAGTAAAACGGAATATATGATACAACTGCAAATGAATGGAGGGCTGTTAGTTAGACTAAATATATAATACAATTGCAAATGAATGGAGGGCTGTTAGTTAGACTGAATATTTGATATAATTGCAAATGAATGGTGTGTTGTTAGTTAAACTGATATAATTACAAATAACGGAGGGCTGTTAGTTAGACTGAATGTATAATATGAATAGAGAGCTGTTAGTTAGTCTAAATATATGATATAATTACAAATGAATTGAAGGCTGTTAGTTAGACTCAATATACTATATAACTGCAAATGAATGGAGGGCTGTTAGTTAGACTGAATATACGATATAATTGCAAATGAATGAACTGCTGTTAGTTAGACTGGATATATGATATGATTGCAAATACGTAGAGGGGTGTTAGTTAGACTGAATATCCAATATAATTACAAATGAATTGAAGGCTGTTAGTTAGACTCAATATACTATATAACTGCAAATGAATTGAGGGCTGTTAGTTGGACTCAATATACGATATAACTGCAAATGAATGAAGTACTGTTAGTTATACTGAATATACGATATGATTGTAAAAGAATGGAGGGCTGTTAGACTGAATATACAATATAAATGCAAATGAATGGAGGGCTGTTAGTTCCACTGAATATACAATATAATTGCAATCGAATGGAGGGCTGTTAGACTGAATATACAATATAAATGCAAATGAATGGAGGGCTGTTAGTAAGACTGAATATATAATATGATTGCAAATGAATAGAGGGCTGTTAATTAGTCTGAATATTTGATATAATTGCTAACGAATGGAGGGTTGTAAGTTAGACTGAATATATGATATAATTGCAAATGAATGGAGGGCTGTAAGTTAGACTCAATATATGATATAATTGCAAATGAATGGAGGGCTGTTAGTTAGACTGAATATATGATATAATTGCAAATAAATGGAGGGCTGTAAGTTAGACTGAATATATGATATAATTGCTAATGAATGGAGGGCTGTTAGTTAGACTGAATATATGATATAATTGCAAATAAATGGAGGGCTGTAAGTTAGACTAAATATATCATATGATTGCAAATAAATGGAGGGCTGTAAGTTAGACTGAATATATAATATAATTGCAAATGAATGGAGGGGTGTAAGTTAGACTGAATATATGATATAATTGCAAATAAATGGAGGGCTGTTAGTTAGACTGAAAATATGATATAATTGCAAATGAATGGAGGGTTGTAAGTTAGACTGAATATATGATATAATTGCAAATAAATAGAGGGCTGTTAGTTAGACTGAATATATGATATAATTGCAAATGAATGGAGGGTTGTAAGTTAGACTGAATATATGATATAATTGCAAATAGATGGAGGGCTGTTAGTTAGACTGAATATATAATATGATTGCAAATGAATAGAGGGCTGTTAGTTAGATTGAATATATGATATGATTGCAAATAAATGGAGGGCTGTAAGTTAGACTGAATATATGATAGAATTGCAAATGAATGGAGGGCTGTTAGTTAGACTGAAAATATGATATAATTGCAAATAAATGGAGGGCTGTTAGTTAGATTGAATATATGATATGATTGCAAATAAATGGAGGGCTGTAAGTTAGACTGAATATATGATATGATTAAAAATAATTAGAGGGATGTAAGTTAGACTGAAAATATGATATAGTTGCAAATGAATGGAGGGCTGTAGGTTAGACTACATATATGATACAATTGCAAATGAATGGAGGGCTGCTAGTTAGACTGACCATTTGATATAATTGCAAATGAATGGAGGGCTGTTAGTTAGACTGAATATACGATATGATTGCAAATTAATGGAGGGCTGTAGGTTAGACTACATATATGATACAATTGCAAATGAATGGAGGGTTTATAGTGAGACCGACTATATGATATAATTGCAAATGAATGGGGCTGCTAGTTAGACTGAATATACGATATAATTGCAAATGAATGGAGGGCTGTTAGTTAGACTGAATATACGATATGATTGCAAATTAATGGAGGGCTGTAGGTTAGACTACATATATGATACAATTGCAAATGAATGGAGGGCTCTTAGTTCGACTTAATGATATGATTGCAAATGAATAGAGGGTTTATAGTGAGACCGACTATATGATATAATTGCAAATGAATGGAGGGCTGTTAGTTAGACTGAATATACAATATAATTGCAAATGACTGGAGGGCTGTAGGTTAGACTACATATATGATACAATTGCAAATGAATGGAGGGCTCTTAGTTCGACTTAATGATATGATTGCAAATGAATAGAGGGTTTATAGTGAGACCGACTATATGATATAATTGCAAATGAATGGGGCTGCTAGTTAGACTGAATATACGATATAATTGCAAATGAATGGAGGGCTGTTAGTTAGACTGAATATACGATATGATTGCAAATTAATGGAGGGATGTTAGTTAGACTGAATATATGATATACAGGGTGTCCCGAAAGTATGGGGGCCCCCCCCCTAGGCAGACATATCCCAGTGTCCTCATAGTATGTGTCATATATCATTTTAAAGCTTATCCAAAGTTACGTTGATTTGCCAAGTATCATGGTTTAACTCCCAAATGGGAAAAAGTTACAGTCATTTTAAAAGTTAGTGTTTTGTCAAAATAAAGTTCAATTTTACACCACATTACTAGTCAATGAGTCCCCCTTGGCCATGTTAAGAGCAGCAATTATTTTCAGATATGACCTTAAAAGCCCTTCAAATAGGGGTGTGGAATTTTATAACCCTCTTAAAACCTGTTAAGGCACTTTAGAAGAGTTTCCTTAGAGTTTCTACGCTTACCGTTCTCTTTTTCCAACTCAATATCCATCCAACCAGAAAAGAAGTGCTGTTGTTAAGATGGCCCGGAAGGACACATTGACTAGTGATTTGGTGTAGAATTGAACTTAATTTTGACCAAACACTAAATTTTGAAATGCCTGTCATTTTTTCACATTTGAGAGTTGAACCATGATACTTGGTGAATCAATGTAACTTTGGATAAGCTTTCAAATGATATATGACACACACTATGACGACACTGGTATATGTCTGCCTAGGGGGGGCCCCATACTTTCGAGACACCCTGTAGTTGCAAATAATTGTAGGGCTGGTAGTTAGACTGACTATATGGTATAACTGCAAATGAATGGAGGGCTATTAGTTAGACTGAATATATAATATGATTGCAAATGAATGGGGGGCTTTGGGTTAGACTGAATATATGATATGATTGCAAATAAATAGAGGCCTGTAAGCTAGACTAAATATATGATATAGTTGCAAATGAATTGAGGGGTGTTAGTAAGAGTGAATAAATTATATTATTTCAAATTAATAGAGGGCTGTAAGTTCGACTGAATATATGATATGATTACAAATGAATGGAGGGCTGTTAGTTAGAATGGATATATGATATGATTGCAAATAAATGGAGTGGTGATCGTTAAACTAATAGTATGATATTAAACTTATTAATTGTTGTAGACATATCTTTTTTCATTTCTTGAATCCGCCTTTTTCAGATATTTAGGATTAAAATGTGCATACGATTTTTTCTTGCTGCATATGTTGATATCCTTAACTGAAGAAAGAAAACAAAAACGCCTCTAACGCGTTGTTCGCATTAAGTACATTAGCACCTTGATAGTTCCGAGTTTAGCCCAATCCTCTGCCCGTGGAACCATGTAGTATCGTAATCCATCAATAGAGCCAGGTAGAGTAACTCCACGAATCAACAGGATCAACATGAAGATATACGGGGACGTTGCTGTAACGTACATCACCTGGAAAGATATGAGACGCACGATTACATGAAGATGTACGGGGACGTTGCAGTTTCGTACATCACCTTAAAAGATATGAGTAGCATGATTACATGAAGATGTACGGGGACGTTGCTGTAACGTACATCACCTTAAAAGATATGAGTAGCATGATTACATGAAGATGTACGGGGACGTTGCATGCTGTAACGTACATCACCTTAAAAGATATGAGTAGCACGATTACATGAAGATGTACGGGGACGTTGCAGTTTCGTACATCACCTGAAAAGATATGTGTAGCTAGATCAGTATTAAGATCTACGGGGACGTTGCATTTCCGTACTTCACCTGAAAATATATTTGTAGCTAGATCAACATGAAGATGTACGGGGCGTTGCTGTAACGTACATCACCTGGAAAGATATGTGCTAGATCAACTTGAAGATGTAAGGGGACGTTGCTGTAACGTACATCACCTGGAAAGATATGTGTCGCTAGATCAACATGAAGATGTACGGGGGCGTTGCTGTAACGTACATCACCTGGAAAGGTTTGTGTAGGTAGATCAACTTGAAGATGTACGGGGACGTTGCTGTTACGTACATCACCTCGAAAGATTTGTGTAGCTAGATCAACATGAAGATGTACGGGGACGTTGCTGTAACGTACATCACCTGGAAAGGTTTGTGTAGGTAGATCAACTTGAAGATGTACGGGGGACGTTGCTGTAACGTACATCACCTGGAAAGGTTTGTGTAGGTAGATCAACTTGAAGATGTACGGGGACGTTGCTGTAACGTACATCACCTGGAAAGGTTTGTGTAGGTAGATCAACATGAAGATGTAAGGGGACGTTGCTGTAACGTACATCACCTGGAAAGATATGTGTCGCTAGATCAACATGAAGATGTACGGGGACGTTGCTGTAACGTACATCACCTGGAAAGGTTTGTGTAGGTAGATCAACTTGAAGATGTACGGGGACGTTGCTGTTACGTACATCACCTCGAAAGATTTGTGTAGCTAGATCAACATGAAGATGTACGGGGACGTTGCTGTAACGTACATCACCTGGAAAGGTTTGTGTAGGTAGATCAACTTGAAGATGTACGGGGACGTTGCTGTAACGTACATCACCTGGAAAGATTTGTGTCGCTAGATCAACATGAAGATGTACGGGGACGTTGCTGTTACGTACATCACCTGGAAAAATATATGTAGCTAGATCAACATAAATATCTATTGAGACGTTGCTGTTACGTACACCACCTGGAAGGATATCTGCAGCTAGATCAACTTGAAGATGTACGGGGACGTTGCTGTAACGTTCATCACCTTAAAAGATATGAGTAGCACGATTACATGAAGATGTACGGGGACGTTGCTGTAACGTACTTCACCTGAAAATATATTTGTAGCTAGATCAACATGAAGATGTACGGGGACGTTGCTGTAACGTACATCACCTTAAAAGATATGAGTAGCATGATTACATGAAGATGTACGGGGACGTTGCAGTTTCGTACATCACCTTAAAAGATATGTGTCGCTAGATCAACTTGAAGATGTACGGGGACGTTGCAGTTTCGTACATCACCTTAAAAGATATGTGTCGCTAGATCAACATGAAGATGTACGGGGACGTTGCTGTAACGTACATCACCTGGAAAGGTTTGTGTAGGTAGATCAACTTGAAGATGTCCGGGGACGTTGCTGTAACGTACATCACCTCGAAAGATTTGTGTAGCTAGATCAACATGAAGATGTACGGGGACGTTGCTGTAACGTACACCACCTGGAAAGGTTTGTGTAGGTAGATCAACTTGAAGATGTACGGGGGACGTTGCTGTAACGTACATCACCTTAAAAGATTTGTGTCGCTAGATCAACATGAAGATGTACGGGGACGTTGCTGTTACGTACATCACCTGGAAAAATATATGTAGCTAGATCAACATAAATATCTATTGAGACGTTGCTGTTACGTACACCACCTGGAAGGATATCTGCAGCTAGATCAACTTGAAGATGTACGGGGACGTTGCTGTAACGTACATCACCTGGAAAGATTTGTGTAGCTAGATCAACATGAAGATGTACGGGGACGTTGCTGTAACGTACATCACCTTAAAAGATATGAGTAGCACGATTACATGAAGATGTACGGGGACGTTGCAGTTTCGTACATCACCTGAAAAGATATGTGTAGCTAGATCAGTATTAAGATCTACGGGAACGTTGCATTTCCGTACATCACCTGGAAAGATATGTCTAGCAAGATAAACATTTAAATGTACGGGTATGTTGTAGTTTCGTACATCACCTGAAACGATATGTGTAGCTAGATGAACATCAATATCAACGGGAACTTTGCTGTTATGTACATCATCTGGTAAGATAAATGAAGCTAGGTCAGTATAAAGATTTACGGCGACGTCACAGCCCCTTACATCACCTAAAAAGGTCTGTGTAGCAAGATCAACGTTAAGATGTACGGGGACGTTGCTGTTACGTACATCACCTAGAAAAATATATGTAGCTAGATCAACATAAATATCTATTGAGACGTTGCTGTAACGTACATCACCTGGAAAGTTATGTGCAGCTAGATCAACATGAAGATGTACGGGGACGTTGCCATTACGTACATCACCTGGAAGTTATGAGTAGCACGATTACATGAAGATGTACGGGGACGTTGCAGTTTCGTACATCACCTGAAAAGATATGTGTAGCTAGATCAGTATTAAGATCTACGGGGACGTTGCATTTCCGTACTTCACCTGAAAATATATTTGTAGACACTTTGTCAACGTAGCTAATTTTATTGTGTCCCTTTAAGAAGCAAATGGAAAACATTCCAGTGCGGCAGAACATACAAGAAATAACAATACAGGGTGTTCCAAAAGTAACAGGACTGGTATTGGCATTTTGTCAATTTTGCACTGAGTGTCTTCAAATTTTCACAAATTGTACTTTGAAGTATTGCAACTAAAGTTGTAAATTGTCAGAAAAAATTATGAAATGTGGTTAGAGTTATGGTTACTATAGAAACATGACATCCCAATACCCGGGGCAACTTTTTTCCTGAAATTAAATGTGATATTTAACATTTTTGTATTACTGAAGAAAGTATCTAATTCACCAATTATAATACAACATTTCTTGTTTATTTTACTACGTAGTTGTTTTTTTGTAAAATGTTGCTATACAACTCAGATTCAAGTATAATTTCATAATAATAATATTTATTCAATTTCGTGGAATATCATTATGTATAACAGTCTGAACAATTCACAGTTGAGTTTTTGAAGCCAGTCATTTAAAGCCAGTTATCCACCTTGATAGCGCGCCTGCCCGCAGGTCACCATTAAAGACCATGCAGCTATAGAGGAGCTAGGTCTTGAGGTCTTAAACCATACACCATACTCTTCATAGCATGCAATATCTAATGTTTACTTATATTGAGAACGGAATGCTAATCAGTGCTGTAAAACCTTTAAAGATGAGAATGACTTTCTCCAAATTGTCCAATCGACCCTGCGTGACATGTCCTCAAATGGGTTCACTCATGTGTTTGGGTCATGGATACAGAGTACCACTCTTGTTCTGACCAAAGAGGAGCCTATTTTTCAAAGTAGAGGATACATAGGTAATTAATGTAAAACAAAGTACTAGTAATTCCCATCAGTTGTTACATTTCAACTTTGATATGGCGTGTACAAAATGATATTGGATGTACAAAATGCTTAATGTCTTAATGTAACTTTTTGCGTGGAATGTTGCCCCGGGTATTGCGATGTCATGTTACTATAGCAACCATAACTCTACCCAAGTTTGATATATTTTGTCGAAACTTTGCAGTCTTAGTGACGATACATGAAAGTACATTTTGTAATATTTTGAAGACGATTGATGCATATTTAAGAAAATGCCAGCACCAGTCCTGTTACTTTTGGAACACCCTGTACATCAGTACAGATAAGTGGTAAAATAATATGTTAAATCATATAGTATTATGAGTTTAAAATGTCGTTGTTAATGGTCACTAAAAGTTGTTTAAAACACTTGTCAAATATAAAACCTTTGTATTTGTCCAAAATACTAAAAACATCTCCTATGTGCCATTTTAATTTTTCATATAAAGGAACCATTAAAAACACGAACGCGAATTAATGAACAATAATGAACAACAGAAAATGAATGATATTTTCAAACTTCGCCTTTAAAAAGTCATTTTATCTTTACAGCATCATTGACGTTAACGTATTTGATAAGCATATCTAATTTGGGAATATATATATATATTATTACCTTCCCTGATGTCTTGATCCCTTGGCAAATGCATAGGTATACGACCAGCCAGGAAAACAAGTTGCACAAGGCCAGATCCCATTTGATCCCCGCTGGATCGTCAATCCCTGTGCTCTGATCAATTCCAAGGACTTTGTTCCTAACGAGAAAATGCCATATCATTCTTAACGCATTTATTTACGTGGCATCTGATTACATATTAAAATAATATTACAGAATTTATTTTGTTTGACTATCTAAAGTGAGTATCCGGGGCATTAATATAGTCCCAACTGCAGCCCTGTTATCAGCATATATAGGGGAAGTTGCACATATAAATACGCTGGACACTCTTTCGGATGAGAGTCTCTTTTGGATATGAATGGTGATCTAACGTAAAACTTCTCAAATTATCAATGCATGCAGGTGGACTAGGATAGTGTTAAAACATATCACTTACTCCCAGAACTCTGTGACTGAATCAATGCCATTAACAACAGTTCCATTGAGAATACAAGTAGTATTGTCATTTGGGAGGGTAAAATTTCATAATTTCGCATCTAAACCTGTATCCCCGATGGTACCGTTGAATATACTCATCGCTATCCCCGTTTCATTTGCGATTGCCTTTGTCCCGTTCACAGTACGATACTGAGCTGCGTTTTCTTCGGGAAACATTCCTAAAAGAGATCACAATCACCAGCTAATGTAATTTTAAATATTTGTACACATACCTCTTCCATTTTTGAAAAATAAACCAGTAAATGAAGAAAGGCTTACATTGTGAATACATATTGTGTCTTACTAGAATAGAAGACGTCGTTCATTGGGATAACATTTGCATTACAATTGATAAGCGTGCCTAGTGGATATACTTGAGCAAAATAGAGGTTCCAAGTGTGCTCCTTAGTGATTTTTAAATTACCTCTTCTGCACTAAGGTTCCAATACACCGTTGGAAACCTGAGAGTGTCAGCTTTAAGAAACCAGCCTACATTCGAATTTGCGCTGAATTAGATAAATTAAGAAATCAAAATTAGATATTAACCCTTTCATCTCCAAGGGGTAAAATTAAGAAATCAATCATGCTTTTTTAATCAAAATATATTTTGACAATCGGTTTCTATTTTCAATCTAAATGTCCGTAACAACAAATTTTGTGGTTATAATTACATTTCCTCTTTGAAATTACCACCCAAATAGCCATCAAAACAATGCCAAGTTTCTTTTTTACATAATAATTTTTCACTGATTTTTCTCATAAAGCAGGAGAATGTACTTTAATTGCATAAAGGATATATTTGTGTCACTCTCCGTGATCAGACGTGTGACTTTTGCTTCCCTACCTAGTTTATATGAGGGCGGAAGGCTGGTTGGTTTGAAAAATGTATGGTTTCAGAATGTTTATATGTAATGTTATGTCTAAGAAACTATTCATTGGAATCACTCCATATTAGAGAGTATGCATGTTTGAGATGGAATTCTTCATTAGAGTGAAATAAAAAGATGCTGTATGAGTAGATAGGTGTGACAATTAAGGTCAAAGGTCAAATATTTGGCTTGATGGATTCCACTTAACCTTGATATGTAGTGAATACCCCATACAACTTGTTAAGTCTGTGTCTAGTGCTCCTTTGGAATTTATATATATCATTGATAAGGTAACTTATAAGGGTATATTAAAGATATAATATTAAGGTCAAAGGGATATAATGACATGCAATGTTAAGCCAAAGGTGCATATTCTCATGTTAAGTCACTGTCAATGTTGAGTCAAGACACGCTTGCTGCAATCTTAATATTTTCAGGAGAAAATTAGCAATTTTTATTGTGCATTCCTAAATACCCAAATTGCACATTGAAGTACATATTATTTTCAAATATCAAATCTCATTTCTACCGAAATCAAAAATTCTGACGCAAATTTTTGGCATTATGGGGTCACTGCACTTAATGACCCCTATCTTAGCCTATCTGTGTTCAAACTCTTAAATGTTCTCCAAAGTATAATTTGACATTGAATTAGTTATTGTTAACCTAAAAATCATCCATTCTGGCCACGGGGTTATTTGTCATTTTGAAACTGATTTTCATAAAATTAATAAAAAAAAATTGGGGATGAAAGGGTTAATATCTAATTTTGCATTCACTAAAAATTCAAGTGGAGGTCAGATTCTTATAGCTGACCTTTCAGCTTTCCAACGGTATATTGGAACCTTAGTTCAGAGGTAGTCATTTATATCACCCTAGTTTGCTCTACTAATAGAAGGAAAACGCTGTTCCTCACACAAAACGTTGATCCTTGCGCATCGCCTCGAAGTCTTAAGTCGTCGGCTGTATTTCATATACATTCACAGATTCGTTTTGGATGAGAATAAGATCATTCGAAAGATAAGTTTACAAGAATTTTGACTGAGGCATAAACAAAAATGAGGTTTTCAGGTCTATCGACCTACTGACTGCCCATTCAATAATTAACATTCTTAGGACACGGTGTCTTACCGTTGACGGTGCATCTAACTGTGTTCCACCAGTTCTTGCAGTCGCCCCAGACAAGATATGTATTCAGGGAGGAGAAGAAATAATAGAAGGCCCAACACAGTACGATGTTATAATAACAATCCAGGAAGAACACGATCATAATGGTACAAATACCAACTCCTGCAAATGTAGAAAATGGGAACAGGATTTGGTTTTCTAGATACAGTTGTTAAAGTGATAAAACTGGACTAGGGTTAATTATAGAATCACTATGATATTGTAACATTCATAAATAGTTAAACTAATGTACATTTCTGATACCAAAGCGTTGTTTGTCTTCAGTTCAAACACAGGTCGAGGTTGCGCGCAAATGATGTATCCACTTTGGTACAACGAAACATCTGAGTTGATAAATGGAGTGGTTTTCTTGGTGCATCTTAGAGAAAGGACTTGCTTTTAATAGCTTGCTCATCTAGGTTATTGGAACTTGGGAACCAGTCAAGAAATCAACATGAACAAGCTATTCAATGGGACTTCAATTGTCAAGAATCAAATTTGAACAAGCTATTCAATGGGACTTCAATTGTCAAGAATCAAATATGAACAAGCTATTCAATGGGACTTCAATTGTCAAGAATCCAATATGAACAAGCTATTCAATTGGACTTCAATTGTCAAGAATCAAATATGAACACGTTATTCAATGGGACTTCAATTGTCAAGTATCCAATATGAACAAGCTTTTCAATGGGACTTCAATTGTCAAGAATTCAATATTAACAAGCTATTCAATTGGACTTCAATTGTCAAGAATCAAATATGAACACGTTATTCAATGGGACTTCAATTGTCAAGTATCCAATATGAACAAGCTATTCAATGGGACTTCAATTGTCAAGAATCAAATGTGAACACGTTATTCAATGGGACTTCAATTGTCAAGAATCTAATATGAACAAGCTTTTCAATTGGACTTCAATTGTCAAAAATCCAATATGAACACGCTATTCAATTGGACTTCAATTGTCAAGAATCCAATATGAACAATCTATTCAATAGGACTTCAATTGTCAAGAATCCAATATGTACAAGCTGTTCGATGGGACTCCTATTGTCAAGAATCAAATGTGAACACATTATTCAATGGGACTTCAATTGTCAAGAATCCAATATGAACACGCTATTCAATTGAACTTCAATTGTCAAGAATCCAATATGAACAAGCTATTCAATTGGACTTCAATTGTCAAGAATCAAATATGAACACGTTATTCAATTGGACTTCAATTGTCAAAAATCCAATATGAACAAGCTATTCAATGAGACTTCAATTGTCAAGAATCCAATATGAACAATCTATTCAATGGGACTTCAATTGTCAAGAATCCAATATGAACAAGCTATTCAATGAGACTTCAATTGTCAAGAATCCAATATGAACAAGCTGTTCGATGGGACTCCTATTGTCAAGAATCAAATGTGAACACGTTATTCAATTGGACTTCAATTGTCAAGAATCCAATATGAACAAGCTATTCAATTGGACTTCAATTGTCAAGAATCCAATATGAACACGCTATTCAATGGGACTTCAATTGTCAAGAATCAAATATGAACACGCTATTCAATGGGACTTCAATTGTCAAAAATCCGATATGAACAACCTATTCAATGGGACTTCAATTGTTAAGAATCCAATATGAACACGCTATTCAATGGGACTTCAATTGTCAAGAATCCAATATGAACACGTTATTCAATGGGACTTCAATTGTCAAGAATCCAATATGAACAAGCTATTCAATGGGACTTCAATTGTCAAGAATCCAATATGAACACGTTATTCAATGGGACTTCAATTGTCAAGAATCCAATATGAACACGTTATTCAATGGGACTTCAATTGTCAAGAATCCAATATGAACACGTTATTCAATTGGACTTCAATTGTCAAGAATCCAATATGAACAAGCTATTCAATGGGACTCCTATTGTCAAGAATCAAATATGAACACGCTATTCAATGGGACTTCAATTGTCAAGAATCCATTATGAACAAGCTTTTCAATGGGACTTCTATTGTCAAGAATCCAATATGAACAAGCTATTCAATGGGACTTCAATTGTCAAGAATCCAATATGAACAAGCTATTCAATGGGACTTCAATTGTTAAGAATCCAATATGAACAAGCTATTCAATGGGACTTCAATTGTCAAGAATCCAATATGAACACGCTATTCAATGGGACTTCAATTGTCAAGAATCCAATATGAACACGTTATTCAATGGGACTTCAATTGTCAAGAATCCAATATGAACAAGCTATTCAATGGGACTTCAATTGTCAAGAATCCAATATGAACACGTTATTCAATGGGACTTCAATTGTCAAGAATCCAATATGAACACGTTATTCAATGGGACTTCAATTGTCAAGAATCCAATATGAACGCGTTATTCAATTGGACTTCAATTGTCAAGAATCCAATATGAACAAGCTATTCAATGGGACTCCTATTGTCAAGAATCAAATATGAACACGCTATTCAATGGGACTTCAATTGTCAAGAATCCATTATGAACAAGCTTTTTAATGGGACTTCAATTGTCAAGAATCCAATATGAACAAGCTATTCAATTGGACTTCAATTGTCAAGAATCAAATATGAACAAGCTGTTCAATGGGACTCCTATTGTCAAGAATCAAATATGAACAAGCTTTTCAATGGGACTTCAATTGTCAAGAATCCATTATGAGCAAGCTATGCAATGGGACTTCAATTGTCAAGAATCCATTATGAACAAGCTATTCAATTGGACTTCAATTGTCAAGAATTCATTATGAACAAGCTATTCAATGGGACTTCTATTGTCAAGAATCAAATATGAACACGCTATTCAATTGGACTTCAATTGTCAAGAATCCAATATGAACAAGCTTTTCAATGGGACTTCAATTGTCAAGAATCCAATATGAACAAGCTATTCAATGGGACTTCAATTGTCAAGAATCCAATATGAACAAGCTGTTCAATGGGACTTCACTTTTCAAGAATCCAATATCAACAAGCTGTTCAATGGGACTTCAATTGTCAAGAATCCAATATGAACAAGCTATATTCAATGGGACTTCAATTGTCAAAAATCCAATATGAACACGCTATTCAATGGGACTTCAATTGTCAAGAATACAATATGAACAAGCTATATTCAATGGGACTTCAATTGTCAAGAATCCAATATGAACAAGCTATTCAATGGGACTCCTATTGTCAAGAATCAAATATGAACACGCTATTCAATGGGACTTCAATTGTCAAGAATCAAATATGAACAAGCTATTCAATTGGACTTCAATTGTCAAGAATCCATTATGAACAAGCTATTCAATTGGACTTCAATTGTCAAGAATCCAATATGACCAAGCTATTCAATGGGACTTCTATTGTCAAGAATCAAATATGAACACGCTATTCAATTGGACTTCAATTGTCAAGAATCCAATATGAACAAGCTTTTCAATGGGACTTCAATATTGTCAAGAATCCAATATGAACAAGCTATTCAATGGGACTTCAATTGTCAAGAATCCAATATGAACAAGCTATTCAATGGGACTCCTATTGTCAAGAATCAAATATGAACACGTTATTCAATGGGACTTCAATTGTCAAGAATCCAATATGAACAAGCTATTCAATGGGACTTCAATTGTCAAGAATCCAATATGAACAAGCTATTCAATTGGACTTCAATTGTCAAGAATCCAATATGAACAAGCTGTTCAATGGGACTTCAATTGTCAAACTTATCTAGTATTATCGACATTATGCATTTCTACATTTAACTTGCTCCCTCAAAGTTATTTCCTGGATTGGTCTATTTTTGTGTATACCTGGACAGAATTAAATCAAATCTATAGAGTTTTGACATGAAGAGAGTCCAGTGAGTAGTTTCTTTTGAGGTCTTGCTGGTCTAGTTGTGAGATTTGTATATTCTTTTCATTATATTAATTATAAAACACTTGGGATTCTCTGGATGACTAGGTATATTGAATACAATATATTTTTTATGTTTTTCAACGATTCCATTCGGTTTGCTTCGAAAAAATGAATGTTTTAGTAGATAAACCCTATTTCAACTATATTCAAGTAAGGAATCGAGTGTTTTAACATCAATTTGTTTAATGACGTGTTTAACGGCAGAATCAGATCTATATGGGTGACAAAATTACAAGCAGCTTTTATAATTGACCTACCAATCTATTCCTTACAATATCAAAATGAATACAATATCTCCCAAAAAATTCACAATATGTTATAAATTGGTGAAGTTATTAATGATTCAAAGTGCAGAAAATGGGTGGAAAATGTTTAAATTCTCCCAAATAATAAGAATGGTAACCATTCTTATAGAAAAATAATACATTATTGTAAAAATCTTTAGTTATCCTTGAATATAGTATGCACTTTTGTGATTTTTAGAAAATAGACATGACAAGGAATGACATAAGCCAAAAATATTCTCAAATTGAGACAATTTTTTGTTTAGCCTGCTTGCTATATCCGATTCTCTCTTTAAATAGGAAATCTGAACTTTTTTTACTAATCACTTCCACTTTGTAGATTAAAACTTTGATTTATCATGTCATTTTCACTAATTTGCCATCGGTGTGCAAAAGGTATGTGTGAATATTCACATTTAAGATTATAAAATGGAGTTCTAGAAATTGTTTGCATGCCCCTCGCACGTGTTCTGACTCGGTAAGTTCACTTCAGTGCAATCTGCATTATGTTTTGAATGACTTGAATATGAATGTATAAAACAAGTTTATACTGTACAGTAGTAAACTACGTTATTTTAAAGAATGTCAAACGCCAGGTATCATGGGCGTTAATTACACGAACCTGATTCTTATGAATCACAACCTTTGTCAATAGCGACCTAGTTTTTCAAGTGAATATACCGAAGACCATGCAATGAATTCACCACATAAAGTCTCACATGTATCTTAAACTATCAGACCCTTTGCTCCTAATATTAAAAAAAACAATTTCATCATTTCATCATTTCGTCATTTCATCAAAATACCATCAATGGTACATTTGTAGATTTTTTAGCGTTTTGTTAGTACATATTCCTGGGCCTCGGGCCTATACTGTACCTTGAAAAAGAGGCACAAGTCTCCATGCCCTGATTCCACTTGTCTGCATGTACTGCCCGATGCAAACCTCCAAGTAGAACATGGGGATTCCACCGATAAACACACATATTAGGTAGGGAATCAGGAATATGGCTGCAAAACGCAAATAAAACAAAAATTAAAATGGGGTATAAATAAACGACTGCGCATGCGTAGCCTAGCTCAACTCATTTTTCGACTGTACAGTTTACTCAGGTTATCTGTTTACATGCTCAACATGAAGTACAAAATAGCTCAACATAGGTGTTATTTTGCCACGGAATTTATGCATGACCCGATTTCATCTGACCGCATGTCGTTAAGACACGTCCCTAATGACAGTGGTCTTTTAACAAGAGTTGTTGAGCACGTTGTTTATGACTTTGTGAGAATTGTCAGACCATTATGAATTTTTCCCTGTGCGTTCCAATTCAACTATTTAAGTAGCCCATTTAAATGGATATATGACAAAGTGTGTTTACGATTCAGTAATAAAACTGTGTCTTTATTCTGGGTGTTAGATACATCTAGGCCTTATCATAAAAACCACGAAAAACATCGTAGCCACACCCTCACCATCTCTATCCTTCTGGAGATCTGCGATGCAACAGAGAGAGATGCTATGAGTATCAGAATGCACGAAAAATAACAACGTCAGTGTATGAAATTCTACATAACGTGTGTATTAATCATGCATTTCAAACTATGAAAATCTCTGTAATTGTTATAGTTAAGCCGATAGTTGCATTCGAGAATAAAGCCTAAAATCGAGGTGGGATCAACTGTGTTACATCAATCAGAACTCGGCATTATATTTCTTAAAACTCTGAAATGTCCAATTCCGTATAGAAGGAAGTAACCTCACGTCAACTCGACGTTGAAAATACCCAGAAGTAAGGCGATCAGATTGGATGTTGATTTGATTCATCACCATAAAACTCCTCAGGGAATCATTTTAGTATTTAGCAGGAAGAGTTCCTTGTATGACTTATTTTGATCCACCAATAAGTATAGCTGATGGACAGATAGTATAGAAAGTACAGTCCGATTCAAAATTATATTTAGTTCAAAATGCTCTCGTGGTCGTCACGTTCTACAATTAGAACAAGTGACATTGTACTAACGACGAGCTGGACGTACTACGAACGGAACCGTCGTACTTCAATCCTACTAGGGACGTTTTACAACGAGTTGAACTGTCTGAGGACGTATTGAGAACGAGGTAGAACTAATTGCAAATTAGATTAAGAACGTATAAAATACTGCTGATGACCTCAGACGGGAAGGTGATTTTAGAATTTTGAAATGATTCAAAATTCGATGGCGACCATACCCTTCTGTAATCAGGTCATGGTGACCTTCTAGACTAAGGGACGCGTTATACGACCGTTGCACACCGACCTGGTGCGACCTGAACGAACTGCGAATGAGATGGACGTATTGAAGACTGTTTATGAACGAAGAAGTTAATTATTTTAGACATATTTCCCGACCACAGCCAGATTGAGCCCGTTTTACGACGTTTTCGTAGGACTGGCAAGAACGGGTAAGAACTAGTTTGGTGTGATAGGGGGGTTAGTCAGGGGGTAGAAACGCGTCCAGTCCAGGATAGTACCCCGGACAGGTTGAATGATGCAGTCGTGTTTTTACTCTCTATTTGCAATGGAACAACCATTCGTATTAAAATTTTCAAAATTTATTCTAGAGACAATTTCCAAGATGGAAAATAAATATTTTATCGAAATTTCCAATTTTATGATTTTGACAGGCTTTTTCAAAAACGCTTCACTGTCAATAAAATACGGGTTTTTACTTGAACAATTGAACTTATAACGTCATTTCAAATATTGTCTGGCTATTAGATTTTCGGCCGCCTAAAGTCTTTCCAGATATATTTGTTGCCATATTAATTAATAATCATGGCTGATTATTGTTATTCACTTTCGTCATATTCAGTATTATTACAGTGCTTTAGACCAATCAAAAACTTGTTGCTCCGAGTCTCAATTTGTGAAGCGTTCCCTAGATTAAGCCCAAATAGAGGAGGTCAATCTTCTTGTCAACGGAAACGAGTTCAACCAGATCGAATTGTTCAATACTGTCCAAAATGAGGCAAGACATTACAAATCTCCAACTTCAAGTATTTCCGGCATTAGATCCTTCAAAGATGTTAATATAGCTGTGTCACATGTAGTCATGAAATTGTTAGGGAAACCTGACATATTCAAAGCATGGTACAATTTACGTGCCACAGATTTGCATGCTGAGTGACGGCGGTGGAAAACCCCAGTGGCGAATTAATAATGTCACTGAATATGACAAAAATGCATAACAATAATCAGTCATAATTAATATGGCATCAAATACATCTGGAAAGACTTTAGGGGGCCAAAAATTCAATAGCTTGACAATCTTTGAAATGTCGTTAAAAGTTCAATTGTTCAAGCAAAAACCTGTATTTTATTGACAGTGGCGTCTTTTTTAAAAAGAGCCTTTTAAAGTCATAAAATTAGGAATTTCATTAAATTAATTTTTTCCATATTGGAAATTGTCTCCAGAATAAAATATAAAAATTTCAATAAGAATGGTTGTTCTTTTGGAAATATTGAGTAAAAACACGACTGCATCATCCAACCTGTCCGGGGTACTAAGAATACAGCTTTGAAATGATCGAAAATAGAAAAATGACGAAATGTAAAGAAATACCGGACGAAATGAAAATGTACTGGACGCAAGCCATCTGGTATAACAGGCTTGCGTTCAGTTCATTTTTTAATTCGTCCAGTATTTCTAAAATTTCGTCATTTTTCTTTTATCGATCACTTTTAAGCAAAAATTTGTAGATTGGAGGTTGAATTGTGTTCATACACAAGAAAATTACATATCTTGTCAATGAAATGGTAAATAAAAATAACTCGATTCGTTTTTTCCTGAAAAAATCAAAATATTTCTGTGCACAACTCTACATTACAGAAAAATTAGATGGAAAGCTGTCATTTTATAAGAATTGGATGTTCCCCAAATGTACTGGGAATCTGATGAGCCTGTAAAACGATCACATGCTACCTAGTAAAAGTACAACTACCTCTCCCTGGATCAAAAATGGAGGTCTGCGTCCAGTATTTCCAGTTGTACCAGACGAAAAATAGGACGCGTTTCTATCTCCTGTTAGTGTCACAACCTTTAAAAAGTCATTGAAGCTGAAGCAAAGTTCAAATCTAAATTCAGATTTGAACTTCTGCGAACCTCTTTTTGACCTTCAATATGTTGGCAACATCGATTGTGATCTAGTTTGATAACCTTCACCTTTGACCTTGAAACTTTTACTCTTTCAGACCTCAGTATTTTTTGCATTTTTGCATTGTTGTCAATTTGAAAAATCAATTTTTACCTTTGTAAGATCATTGAGGGTCAACCAAAGGTCAAATCTCAAGTCAGATTCAGGGGCGGGATCTGGGAACCAACAAGGGGGGGCCCAAACTTGTGGTCTGAGAAAATAACTTCCACGCTTGCGCGGAAAAAAATTTTGGGCCCCAAAAACCCAAAAGTGGGCCCAAATTTTGAAATTTCGAGGCCCATTTTCTTCAAAATTTGGCCTAAAATTAACAAATAAGGCCTCACAAGGCCAATTTATGACCAAAAAGGCCTACTTTTTGGGGCCCTAAAGCCTTTTTTGGCTCAAAATATTTTTTGGCACAATTTTTTTTTTCTGGGCCCACCCGAGGGGGGGGGCCGGGCCCCTGCCCCCCCCCCCCCCCATATCCGCCAGTGAGATTTGAACTTCTAAAAACGTGTAGATGATTTTGAAAAATGGTCAATTTGAAGCAAGCTGGACAAATACATTTATTTACCTCTTTTTGACCTTCAATATATTGCCATGGTAACAGATATTGGCAGAAATGTGTTGGAATTTACGACATGTTTACTTTTGCAGAAGTGAAAATGTTATAACAGAATATCCTTATTTCTGACACTTAGCCATTGCCAATTGTATTTATGAACCCATGATACATGAAACATCAAGGTCATGCCTTTCACCGTTCTTTACTCAAATAAAAACAACCTTTGAATTGATCTTTCTTTGCAACGACACGCCTCGCAAAGATTCAAATGTTTATGAGTCCAATGCATGGACCCTGATGACCCCCATTAGGTTGCAGCAGCTTTTCATACAATATAAAAGCTGAAATATCCATTCGCCAATTATTTTTTTACTCCACGTACATTGAATAGTCTTTATATGTTTTTTTTGGTATTGAATAGAAAAATAGGCTGGGCAAATAAATGTATTCGCCGATTTTTAAATCTTTTTCAAATTTTAAGTAATATTGATAAAAAATCACATATCTAAAAACAAAAGTAAAATTATGACATGCAGATAATTACAAGATACATATCCGAAAAGTTTCCTTTGGTTAAGATTAGCACAGAATTTACTCATGGGTAGCATCTTAGACTTGGAAAGCCTTGTGTAAAGTTGGGGAGTAATATTCATGATGCGTTTAATATTTCTGTTCCATTGGTTTCAATGAAAAATAAAAAATGTATTGCTCTCTGAACCACATTTTTGCCCAGATGAGTAAATTTCTCTTAGCTTAGTTTTCAAAACAAACAAAATTTACAATATTTCAATAAAACATTTTTCAAATTAAAAGCCTATCATGTATCGAGTACACTGCGTAAAACTTCCATATAGGCTTAATTGCTCTTAATTTTACGCGGATCTAAATAACGAGAGTTGGCCATGTTCTGCTTTTCAAGCAACCGTAAAGGTTCCCTGATCATCGAAAATGAACCGAGCATTGTTACCCATGCTTTTCCTATAATTACGTAACCTTTGTCACTCGACATTTAAAGAAATAGAAGAAGAGAAGCAGTCAATATTCAAGAAGTGCAGTTACTAGTATACTCTAGGTAGGCTAATATGCAATTTTTGGTTTAATATGCAAATAATACAGCTAATTAATATAGTTGTTATTCTTTATATTTTAACGGCACAAACCTCCTCCGTTTTTATAGCATAAGAATGGAAATCTCCAAACATTGCCCAGTCCAACTGAGAATCCAATACAAGCCAGAACGAAGTCAATCGGCCTTGCCCATTTTTCCCTTTCAGGCTCCCCTTCATCAGTGGCATCAAACTCCTCTTCGCCTTCATCCTTATCCTTCTTGTCTTTAGTCATGTTTGCCCTGTTGGTGCGGCAGGATTACTTAACGGCATAAACTGCAGTGACAGCCGATCAGGAGCTATTACTAGGCTCGCCTGTGTTGTTATTGAGCGCTTAAATACTGCATAGACGCATATGGAAGTATAATTTTAAGGTCCCCGTTTTTATGTGACCTGTGCTTTCTTTTCTTAAAAATCAAGGAATCCAACTTGGAGTCAAATGATTTGTTCAATCTTGGTGCCAATCCAAATATTGTGTTCACACACAATAGTTCCGAATTATTTAATCTCTAGTCTTAAATCCGATATTATGTGAAACGTGCAGAGAGGCAATGTTCATACCCACGGCTATTCCAATTCCAGTTAAACTTATACACCGCCTTGATAAATAAGTGCTTTATAAAAAATACCTTTCATTTAAACTAATTTATATATAGAATTTTCATATAAGACTGGCATGTTGTATCCGACAATGCCTTCGGGACCTTAGAAAACCTGTAAGAAAAAATGATTTAAAAAGCTAATTCAAAAATATATAATTACTTTTGGAGGCCTATTTATACCTAGACGTAATTGATAAATAGAGGACTGATCTAGTTACACCACAGGGTGGGCCAAAAAAACAACACCCAACTTCAAATCAGGATAAAAAATAGTTATGTTCAATATGGTACATTGACTTATATATCATTTTAAAGATTAACTATTTTCAAACAATTTGGTATATAATACTATGTCATAAAATCAATAGTAAAGGTATATTATATTTATTTGGGAGGCTGGGTTGCGATTTAAGATCTAAAGATTTTAGGGAAAAAACAGTAAATCTGTTGAATTATGTAAACTTTTTATTAATAGAATATCATTTTGTTAGGAATACATGCTTGTATATTTGCATCATTGTGTGACTAAATTTATTGTTTATGAATTTCAGTGTTGTTTAATTACATTTTACAATTTATTTATTTAAACAATTGCTTAATATGCCCCCCACCTCTGTGTCAACAATAAGCTTCAAGTAGTAGAGCCATCTATCAACAGATTTCTGTTGCAATACATTCCAGTACTTTAGGATTCCGCGGTTAAGCTAATCACTATTTGTTTTATTGAGTGCTTGTGATTGTATACCATTTCCTCGAAATGGCGCTATGTATGGTAATTCACCACATTAGCATCGGACTGGCTGCTGGGTGGCCAAGCATCTGAATCAATCAAATTGACAACTTGTTGCTGGAGGAATGATGCAAACATACAAGCATGTATTCCATACCCGATGAGGTTTCAGGGACATATCAACCGGGAATATATTCCACATCCGGGCAAATATTTTTCGTATGTCCCGCTCCAACGGAGCTCCGGGACATATAAATCGTATGTCCCGCTCAAAAAAAATTTAAAATTTTTTTTTTAAATGAATTCGGGAAAAATATTTGAAAGTAAAAATTTGAAAAAAAAATTTCAAAAATTTCAAAAAAAAATTCTGAAAAAAAAATTATGGAAAAAATGTGAAAAAAAATTTGAGAAAAAAAATTTGGAATTCAGGTATGGAATACAACAGTTATGCACGGTCGGTTTGGATACAGGAAATATCCCTTGGGATATACAATATATCTTCCCTTGGTCCCTTCGGTCCCTCGGGAAGATATATTGTATATCCCTCGGGATATTCCCTGTATCCAAAACCTCCCAGTGCATAACCCCTATGTATTCCATACCCGATGAGGTTTCAGGAACATATCAACCGGGAATATATTCCACATCCGGGCAAATATTTTTCGTATGTCCCGCTCCAACGGAGCTCCGGGACATATAAATCGTATGTCCCGCTCAAAAAAAATTTAAAAAAATTTTTTTTTAAATGAATTCGGGAAAAATATTTGAAAGTAAAAATTTGAAAAAAAAAATTTCAAAAATTTCAAAAAAAAATTCTGAAAAAAAAATTATGGAAAAAATGTGAAAAAAAATTTGAGAAAAAAAATTTGGAATTCAGGTATGGAATACAAGGTTCGGTCCCTCGGGAAGATATATTGTATATCCCTCGGGATATTCCCTGTATCCAAAACCTCCCAGTGCATGACCCCTATTTATTCTGATTTTAAGTTGGGTATTGTTTTTTAGCCCACCCTGTATAAGCACATTTTTTAGATAAATTTATTCCTTTAGTTAACAATAATATATAAGCAATCGATTGACAAAGTTTTATAAAAAACATTAGCGGCAATTTTAATCAATAAAAACAGGAATACATAAATACATGAATCATATAAGAAACTACAATCCCATGGGCCAGGGATGAGTTAACACATGTATGTGAAAAAACTGATCAATTCGGCTCAAACTTTGATTCACAAAATGACTCATTAGTTCTATTAATTTTTTCTTAATGAGTTATCTCAATCTTCATCACCATACAAAAGAAACTGAATTTTGTCAACTGTGTTCAAATTCTGAACCAAAAGATGAGGCTTTGAAGTTCGCAGTCCTGCAAATAAAGTTTCACGCTCGTTCACAAGCAGAGGACATTTTAAGATAAAATGAGAAGGTGTTTGTGGTAATCCCCATTTACAAAAAGAATCACTAACACCCACGGGTAGTATCTAAAGCCCCGCTATGATTTAGAAGTCGCGAGCAAGTTCCCGCTGAAATCGCAAGCAATTAAAAGAAAAGAAGGGTTATCTTTTGTTTACTTAAAATTGTATGTCGTACAGAGTGTTTTCATTTCATTTTACTCAATTATTACATGGTATTAATACTAAAAAGCAACTGCTGCAAAAAATGTAAAAGTATCACGAGCTGATGTTCTGAGATCGTTATTTGATAATTTGAGGGAGAATTATCATTTTGAATCTTTATCTATATATTTCTATATTTTATTGCTGAAGAAGGTCATTGCCTTTCAGTTGAAATGGTCATAATGATATGAAATAAATGTATTGTGAGTTTCACTTCTTCTTCCTCTTCTTCTTCTAACTTCTTCTTCTTAAGGCATATGCGGACTTGGTGACTGTTTTGAAAGGCCATTACAAGCCTAAGCTCATGGTGATAAACGAGCGATTCAAGTTCCATAAACGTGATCAAAGCGAAAATGAGAGTACATCTGAATATGCAGTCGAACTACAAAAACTGTCTTCAACGTGTAAGTTTGGAGAATTTCTAGATCAAGCTTTCAGTCATTCCAGATAGTAATGCCCCAATCGGTTTTCGGAAAATGATAAAAATAAAGTTTCTCCTTTTCACTTCATATCTTGTTATTTTATGATATTATATGTCTACAGCATAATACTAAAAAATTGGCTTTTAGACTCTCTTGGTTTCGAAGTAATTTTGATTTGAAATATGTGGTACACAACTTAAGTTTTTATGCCATTTTAAATTACGTTATAGGGACCATCTTAATCGATTTGAATACTTCTTAATTTATGACAGTGCTACCAAATAGAATGTTTTTCTACCTTAAAGTACAGACATTAGGGTACTGATATTTATCAGGAGGATTAATAATAGTTGGCTTTTAAACTATTTTGCTCAATTACAAATATTTTATATTTTTGTCCTTAAAATTGTAATTTCCAAAATGTTTGTCAGCCTGAATCTTTTGTGACCATTGCCTCGATTTAATACTTTTCAGCAGAGCAAAGGAGTATATCTCTGCATTGTTAAACACTAATATTGGATACTGTCATGGTTATATGTTTGTAAAAAAACTCAAGCATTGAACATACCTTTATTGTAACGTAGATTAATTCATGGGAGCTGACATTTTCAATTCAATCAGTTGCACAATATAGTGGTTTCCAAAGAATTAATTTGGTCCGTTTTATATACGTTTTATATAAGAGAAACTCATTTTATGAAAACACGCTATGTTCGTGTAAAATATAGTATTTGCGTACTATATTCAAACGAACGGTAACGTAGATTAACACCAGCTTCATGTGTCATTAAATCTGAACAAGAATACATTACAATGAAAAAAATCATTACATATTGTGAATAATAATGGTGCTAAATGTACTTGGTATAGACCCCTTATCCTAGCACTGAATCAGCAAATTTTGGTAACGCTTGTTAAGAAACAGTATAGTCGACGTCATTAGATAACGAGAGCAAATATTGTCTATGTAAAACTTAAACTTCTTATAACAACTTAATCACTCAAATCAAAATCTCTAGCGACGTCGCTTAAACAGTTCTGTCAACATGAACTAGTAAATGTTTACAGTAAAACGTATTTTCAAATCATATCTGTCCAAAACAACATATCAGACGTCATTGTCTCTTGATTCAATTTTTGAGGCAAATACCTCATCATCAGTTCAGGTAATCTTGAACATTCTTGCATTCCCCCACTTGGGAATCAAATCCACTATTTGGCAAAGAACGTTTGCATTTTCTACCATGAGTAGATGTTCTGGCTACCCAGAGTACATGTTCTGGTGAAGGCCACTGGAAATACCCCCGTCTGTTAAACATAAATGATGTTTCGTAGCACGCCATCCACATTAACTACTTTTCAAATGTACCAAGCACCATCATAGACTGCAGCAGTATAATTGTCGATTATGTGCATAACAGCTGCTCTATTATCATAGAGTCAGAGCTCTTACTCTGCTTACTCTGGGGTTCATTTTTGCACTCCGCGGGGCAAAGCAAGAAACAAACGTTTTAAAGGGGGAGTTCTACTCTGGGTGTGTGGTACCGCTTAAGGTAATGGCATGGTGTAACGAAAACATTTTTGAAAAAATTGATATACTTGCAAACGTTACTTTCTGTTGAAAATAAAGTATGATGGCATGTGTGCATTTCCTTGTTTTTAAGGAAAACATCATCACATTATCTTCTTTTAATAAACTTGGTAAAAGGCCATGGTAACTCAAGTGTTGTACAGAAACTTTGAGAAAACATTGGAAAATTGAAAAGACGTCCATTTTGAATGTTTATCATTTCTGGGAGTTAAAATTGACCTCTTACTAGACTCAATAAAAGAAGACACTGTGACGATACTTTCCTGAAAATTGTACATGCCTTCATTTTTTATTTTGTCCTAGTAAATAAAATGAGCAGGTATTGCGATTTTTTCAAAAATGTTTCTGTTCCACCATTTCCTTACCACATGCGCTTTCTTTCTGTACTTTTCCCCATCTTTTCTCTTTTCCATTCAATATAGGCTTTTTGAATCACTGCTCTTGATTTACCCATTTTCTGAAAGAATGTTCCCCTATTTGAAACTCTTAATCAAGTCAGAAAAGGGTTAACAATCGATTTAAATTACGTTACCGAACATAACGTAATTTATCCAACATTTAATATTGAATTTCACCAAATATATTTCAAATTGAAATTTTT